CACACACACACACACACATTTGAGATGTTCTCTCTCACACACACACTCACACACACACAGAAAGACACAAATACATTTCAGTCCCTCTGTCCGGCGCTCTACAGATGCTGCTCCTTCTCACCTCCTGTACATCTCAAGGTGACATTGCCCTGCCTGTGCGTGCACGCAGACACACACACACACACACGCACACACACATGCACATGCACACAGAGCGAGAGAGAGTCTCAAGGAGCCGTCTCCTGCTCTGTGAAACGGTGGACTCCTGGAGCAGATTCTGCACCAGGAGGTCCTGCAGGATCCCAGCAGGCCACAGTTTGTTCTGTTAAAGACAGAAAAAACCAAACTGGTTACAAAAACTAAAGAAAACTGAAAAATTTAATTTAAACTTACAGGAAGTCAGTCGCTGCTTTTAAATTTTGGTTTCAGGGAATTACTGAACAAAGCTGGTGAAACTGACCTGGACAGCCTGTTTAAAGGGTGTAACCAGTCTGTAACCAGTCTGTAACCAGTCTGTAACCAGTCTGTAACCAGTCTGCCTGTTTAAAGGGTGTCAGGTAGTCACAGGGCTGTTTGGTGTCACGGTGTGTAACACACTGGACATGGAGCACAGGAAGCTGAGGACAGAGTGTCTCAGGAAGAGACGATGACTGACATCATGTTGAAGGTAAAGACCATCAGAGCATCTCCATCAGCTTGATGTTCCTCTGACTACAGCTGCACACATCATTCAGAAGGTCCACAGGACTGGAGACAACCGGCCAGGACGTGTCCACAAGAGGACAACTGAAGACAAACTGAAGACCAAAGACTCCAGAGCAACTTCCAAAGAGATGAGAGGTGAACTCCAGGGTCAAAGGTCATCAGGGTCAGATCCCACCATCAGTCTGCTTGAGACAAAGTGGACCTGATGGAAGACAGCGAGGAGGACAACAGATCATAAACACACTGGACTTTGACACAAAGCTTCTGGGAGAACGTCCTTTGGACAGAGGAGACAAAACTGGATCTTTGTGACAACAAGTCCATCAGCTGTGTGTTCTGACCCCAAACTGAGACGAACAACAGAACCCTGTAGCTACAGTGAAACATGGAGGAGGCTCGGTTCTGTTCTGCTTTGCTGCATCTGGGTCAGGATGTCCTGAATCTGTGCAGGGGACACTAAAATCTCAAGACTATCAAGACACTCTGGATTGAAATGATCTGCCCAGAGTCAGAACGCTTGGTCTGAGTCCCAGGTCCTGGGTCCTCCAACAGAACAATGACCCAAAACACACAGCTAACACCACCAAGACTGGACCAGAACCAAACACTGGACTGTTCTGAAGTGTCCTTCTGAGCCCTGATCTAAATCCTGGTGAACATCTGAGGAAGGAGCTGAAACATCTGGAGGAGGAACCTTCAGACCTGAGACAGCTGGACCAGTTTGATCAGGAGGAGTGGACCAGAACACCTGGGGTCAGGTGGACAGAACACCTGGAGACAGGTGGACCAGAACACCTGAGGACAGGAGAACCAGAACACCTGGGGACAGGTGGACCAGAACACCTGGGGACAGGTGGACCAGAACACCTGAGGACAGGTGGACCAGAACACCTGAGGACAGGTGGACCAGAACACATGGGGACAGGTGGACCAGAACACCTGAGGACAGGAGGACCAGAACACCTGCGGACAGGAGGACCGGAACACCTGGGGACAGGTGGACCAGAACCGACAGGTGCAGAAGTGTCTCACTGGATTGACTCAAAGTGTTGGACAGCATCAGTTCAGGTCTTGTTAGTTCCATCCACATTTATTAGTAAGAATTTAAAAAATAATTTTGTTGAATCCAAACTCAAAACAAACGACTGATTTTTGTATCAGCTGGTTTTTTATTTTTATTTTTATTGATTTCATCAGTTTCTCAATTTTCATGACCTTAGTGGCGTTTTTTCATCAGCGAGCGCAAACAACCTGCTGAGAGACGACCACGCTGCTGAAGCTGCTGCTGAAGCTGCTGCTGCTGCTGCTGCTGCTACTGCTGTAGCTGCTGTAGCTGCTGCTGCTGCTGTAGC